TCATCTGCTCCCGTGTGCTCTGATCAGATACATCTCTATCCCAGAGCTGCGGATTCAGTGCCGTCCTTTGAAATAAATTCTTCTCAGGGGAGGGGATAAAACACTCTTTGTAAGAGAACATTTATTCTCTATTTTTGAATACCATATTCAGTTTGTAAAATTTTATATCACTGAATATCGGTAAAAATTTACACCATCAAAAAAAAAAGATTTAAACCATCTATCACTAAGATTTATGGCTGGTTAAATTTTGATATTCATAACTGTAATTGAAATATCAAAAAAGAAATATCAAATTAATTTTCTGAAGAAATGAGAATTTACAGGAAGGAATCTCTTAAGTTCATTTGAGATAAAATGTCATTTACAGTATGGCCTGTCTCACAGTTTTCAGTAATGGGTTATTATCTATGTTCTCTATGTAATGAATACAAATTTCAAATATTTCATCTACTTGGTGCTTTAATTCCAGTTATATAGCATGATTTTATTCTGATGAACTTAAGACAAAAAGTTATTAATGCCACTTGGTTTTATAAATCATGAGCGACCAGAAGCTGTAATAGGAGATGGAGTCACATAGAAATGGCTGAATGACTAAGAGGTAAGGATGTAAAAGCAACAAGTCTTACTCAGTGGGCCACAGGAAGAAGGAAGGGTCTTATGTGAGGATGCTGTTGCCACCCCATTCATGTTTAGATGAGTGTACGTGCAACCGTTCCGATCATCGGGGAAGGAGCCAGTGGAGAGGCACAGGAGGGGCCGGTGATGGTCAAAACCTCAAGAGCCAAGAGGAGATGGGTAGGAGTAGAATCCAAGGTCCAAATGGAGGAGCTAATTTAAGACAGGAGGAAAGAAGGACCGTTCTTAGCCCCAGGAAGAAAGACAATGATGGAGAAGAAAGGGCAGCCCTGGAGTGCTAGGAAGCAGTGAAAGAAAGGAAGTAAATCCACAAAAGGAAGCTTGGCTGTCAGCTGAGAGTGGAAAAGGCTGGGCAGGTTGAGGTTAAGAGAAGGGATTTCTGAACCTGTCCCTTGTCATGCCCATCTCTTTTAGTGAGTTCTATGAGCCCGAGGCATTAATGATGGAAGAAGAAGGGATGGTGATTGTCGGTCTGCTGGTGGGACTCAATGTTCTCGATGCCAATCTCTGCTTAAAAGGAGAAGACTTGGACTCTCAGGTAAAACTGAGTTTTAGCTCAACAGTCCAGGGCTTTTAGGTAGTATCTGCGGCTTGGGCAAGAAACAGAGGGCCCTCTGCTGGAGTAACTGAGGTGCTGTGACACAGCAGAGGGGCCGCAGTGAGGGCAGAGTCCTGTGAGGAAGGGGAGGGGTGTTGGGCCTGTATCATAAAAAGAGAGGACTCAAGGAAGGGTGAAGATGGAGGCAAAGGCACAGAGGCACACACCGAAACCATGACATGTTTGGCAACAAGCAGACAGCTCTCCAGGGCTACAACATAGTGTGCTCACTGAGTGAGGTGAACAAGGAGGCTCCGGTCAGTTTTAAAAGGCCATGATTTTAAAAAAGGACTCATAGCATAGGGAACAGACTTTGGGGGGGGGGGGGTCAGTTGCTGGTGGCAGGGTTGTGTTTTTGTTTGGTCATTCCCATCGAGTCAGTGCCAACTCATTTCAACCCTATAGGACCGGTAGAACTGCCTCTAGGTTTCTGAGACTGTAGCTCTTTACGGGAGTAGAAAGTTCTAACTTTCTCCGAACTACTGACTTTGGGAATCCCCACCCAGGGCATAACCACTGCCCCACCTGGGCTCACCTGGGGCAGGGGAAGGGAAGGAAACCCAAGCAATAGACTAGACAGTAGACGGGTAAAGTTAGAGGAGTGTGGTCCATGAGAAAGAAGAGAAAGCAGGGAACTAGGAAACTGGTAAACTATTTTGGGGGGGGGCTGATTGGTGGTTTAAGCTGTCGAATACAAAATTGATGCTGCAATGAAATGTAAACCCCCCATCTGATTTACAATTTTTAAAAATGCGACAAGTAAATGCCATAGTGAAGAGTTTCTTATTTTATTCTTCAGGCTTCAGGAAGCTCTTGGAGGCATTTAAATGGCACACTAAAATGATCATCCTGGCTTAGAGAAAGAGAATTCTCAAAGACCTGCAGGCAACACTATATAACTGATCAAGGATTCACATTGGGGAGAAGGAAGGGAAAAAAGAGGCGCTGATACCAAGGGCTCAAGTTAGAAAGAAAATGTTTTGGAAATGTTTATGGCAGCATATGTACAAGTGTGCTTAATACACTTGAATGATGAATTGTCGTAATATTTGTAAGGACTCCCAATAAAATGATTAATAATAATAAAAGACATGCAGGTCGTGATTTAGAACTAGCCAAGGATAGAGACTGACAAATCATGGAGACCAGTCTAGAAGTCCCAGAAGGTAGAAACATGAGGATGGGGGCTAGAAAGATGGAAGAGGTTTAAGCAGTCACAGTGAAAAGATGGGGCATAAATGAAAGTAAGTCACAGAGGTAGACTACCCTGAGTACAGGGACAGCTTTGCCGTATCTCAGGATGGACTTTCTTCCTGCTTGGGAGCTGCTGGCCAGGGCTGAAGACTAAACTCCTACTGGCCAGGACTGCGAATGTCTGAGGAAAACACACTCTGGCCCACCCACCCTCCCACCCTCTCCCCAACCTTATCCCACCACATGTATGGACCTTCAGGCCAGGGCCAACTTTGCTTAACAACATACCTGCCCCGCCCCACCACACCCCTTTAAAAAGAATGTTAAGAGGGACAGTGTGTATTATATTTGTGTATTTTAGAAAATACTGAGGCCTCCTTTTTTATTAAAGTATCGTTCTAAATGTACCATTTTCCACTTTGAGTAAAATTATATCTAACACATTTGCCATTTTGTCTATTTTCTGTACTGCTAGTGATGTTTGTTAACATGAATGGGTCAAGTTATAGAATTATTACCTGAAGTGCTTTATTTCTTGAGAAAGCTCTTGCTATTTAAATGGGGAAGGAGTCTTGGTCCTCTCTACTCCCTGAAATACTGATTGAACCATTTTCACCCAAATTTGAGGAAATAGGGCTCCAAAGTGCCCATTAAGATCACCTCTTTAATTCTGGTGATCCAGGTCTCCTTTTTAAAAAAAAAATCTTTATTTTGTCCCTGGAGCCCTGGCGGCATAGGAGTTATGCGTTGGGCTGCGATCTGCAAGGTCCGCTGTTCAAATCGATCAGCCAATCCTTGCAAGATGGGGTTTTCTACTCCCGTAAACAGTCACAGCCCCGGAAACTCCCAGGAGAAGTTCTTCCCTCCCTAGAGGGTTGCTGTGCCGCTGACTCAGTGGCAGTGAGAAGAAGAGATATTTGGGATTGTATACCCAGAGGATTTATTGATCTGTGTACATGTGATTATTAAATATACAAAACTTACCTAAAATAGATGGTGGCATTTCAGAATATTCCTTTAAATTTTCATTTGTAACGATTTTATCTTCTAGAAGGTGGTGCATTTATTTTTCTTCTGGTTTGTGTGGTTGATGGCTTACTGCTTTAGAAGCTTGCCTATTCTGACTCAATGTGTGTAGCAAAGAGACCGGAAGGTAAACACCCTGGATTTTAACATTTGTATGACTCATGAAAAATGAGAGCATTGTTACCTTTTCATTTAAACGTGTGCCTTTTATCTTGGTCAGGTTGGTGTGATTGATTTTTCCCTCTACCTTAAGGATGTGCAGGAGCTCGATGGTGGCAAAGAGTAAGTGTGTGCTGTACACTCGTTCTCCTTGTTCGTGAAGTTCGTGCAGAGAATGCTGCTATTGGTTTTGCTCCATTTGAAATTATAGTTCTTTTTCATTGTAGTGCTCATACATTGACTCTCACTGTTAAAAAATCAAGCTAGATGGAAAAATAAACATAAGGCTTCCCCATTCACCCCACCCCCATGTCCCACGCCAATCCCTCTCCCTCCTCAGAGGACACTGCTTTTGCTTCTCCTTCCAAGCATCCTTTTGATGCCTTACAGGCCTGTATATGGTGGTGGTATGCATTGCTTTCTGGTTTGCTCATTTGAATAGAAACAGAGGTACTGTATTAAATGCCTTTGACTTGTTCTGTGGTCATAGACTGTCTCAGATATCTTTCCATAACGTGTACCGTGCCCTGATCTGAAAAGAGAATACTTTTAAAAGAAGTTATCCAGGAAGAAAAAGAAAAGGAAGCTAAAGAATTATATATATATGATATATATATGATATGATATGATAATTATATATATGATATATATCATGCTATAATAAGGAGTATGTAAATAAATAAATACATAAAATAAGGAGTATGTGCATGTGTATTTCTACACTGCTAGAGTGGTGCTGATATCAGACACTGGGAAGTGGCTGCCTGCAGGGGAAGGGGTGGCAGGCATGGCAGGAAATTCTTCCTGTACAGTCGTTGGTCATGTTTGAATAGTTTACCTCTGTTACCTGTCTTTCTGGGTGTCTTCCCTCAAAAGGACACTGCCCACCCCCACCCCCGTATCCTCCCCTCTCAATGCCCTGGTAGCTCCCTCCTTAGGATTGGACTAGCAGGAAGCCCATCATTCTTCAGGAACCCTGACTACAAGGTCCACCAGAAATTTAAAGTCCACCAGGAATTTAAAATCTAGTCTTAATGGAAAAAAAGAAAATTAGAAACAAAATTCTTATCTTCCAACAAGGGAATACTTGAATGAATGATGGAATATCCATGATATCCCATATTATAGTTATTATTACTGACATAAAAATAGAATATTTTTAAGCTACTGGTAGAATAGACTTGGAGGGATTCCCACAAGGTATTGTTTAGTTAGAAAAGTGTGATAATAAGACATGATATCTAATTTTCATAAACTTAAAACCCTCATTGTTCTAATCTTTTCATTGTATGTGTTATATGTGTAGCTCCAAACACGCGTATACATTATTATGTGCATCAACAGGTTAGTGTGGGTTACCTGGGAAATCTATGAAAGGAGCAGGGTGGAGGAAAACAGGTTTAAAAAGATGACACTCAAAAAACCAATCTAGAACCTGCTATATGAATGTATAGAATGATCCCATGGGTGTAAATAATGTTTGTGTGTAATCAAATAGAAGTAAATCAGGGGATGTAAAACCTAACTAAAATACAGTAAGCCCATGGGTTACAAATATCTCACCCAGGACCAATTTGCACTCCCTCTTTGATGTTATGTAAATACACTGTCATTTTGAAGCAATTAAAGGAGCCCATTTTGAAGCAGTTAAAGGTGGTGTAGTGGTTGTGCTTTGGCCTACGATCCACAGATAGCAGTTAAAAACCACCAGCAGCTCCATGGAAAAAAAGACGAGGCTTTCTACTCCCATAGACAGTAACAGTCTCAGAAACCCACCGGGGCCGCTGTGAGGAGTAGTGGACTTGATGGCAGTGAGCTTGTTTGTGTGGTTAAAACAATTAAACCAGCCCTTACAACATTCTTCATCACATCGCCTTCACTTGATGAACCTGTAATTTTCAAATCATTGGAAAGGCTTTGCTCCTTGGCTTGGACTCACCCAAACCAAACCAAACTCACTGCCATCAAGTGGACGCCAACTCACAGCAAGCCCAGCAGGCAGGGTGAAGCTGTTCCTGTGAGCTTCCAAGGTTGTAACTCTGTACACGAGTAGAAAGCCTCCAACAGTGGTTCTCCACCTTCCTCATGCTGCGACCCTTTCATCCAGTTCCTCATGTGGTGGTGACCCCCCACCATAGCATAATTTTCTTTGCTACTTCATAACTGTCATTATGCTACTGTGATGAATCGGGTGACCTCTGTGAAAGGGTCTTTGGACCCCCAAAGGAGTCGCAACCCACAGGTTGAGACCGCTGCCCTAGAAGTTGATGGTTTCAAACTGCTGACCTTCCATTTAGCAGCCCATTGCATTCACCCAGGATGCCAGCAGGGTTCCTTGTTTGCACTCACGTAAAATGCGAACCTGTTCGCTCCTTACCTACAAATTTCACCTGAAAACACACTAAGAACTGATCTCATTCGTAACCCAGGGGCTGCACATATTAGCCCAGATGCCTCTGCCTAAAAAGTCTCTTCATCCCCTTTCCTGAGTGAGCCTCGGGTACAAGAATCACTTTCTCCACCACAGAGAGCTGTTTGCCTGCAGTGGGTTGATGCTTGCATATCCCACATGCCCAGTCCTCCTTCACAAGCAGAGGGACCCTCCCCGCTCTTGTCTCTCTATAAGCAGGCAGCTGCTCCTGAGCTCTGACTGCCAGGTGGTTTCCTGAAGCCATTGGTACTTCCACAAGGTGTTTGGAAGATTGGGGACAATTAGAAAGTAGTAACCGTGAATTTAAAACACGGCCCTCTTTTTATTCTCCTTCTTAAAAGGCAAGAAAGAATTACTGATGTCCTTGACCAAAAGAATTACGTGGAAGAACTCAACCGGCACTTGAGGTAGGCTGCACCCCTTTTTTCCAGTTTTAGTTACATGTTCCTTGTGCTATAATCTCTTCGTGTCATTTGAGTTACCATGAATTTATAACGAGTATTATTCATAATCATTTTTCATAACAAGAAAAAAGCTATCTCTGAAGCAATGAGCACAGAACCACAGAGGTGTAATTTTTTTATCTATTGATAATGTGGTTTGCAGGTATTCTCTGGGCTTTTATTTTGTTTTATGCAGTGGCATGATTTTAAGGGGCAAATAAATTAAACTTGGATCTTCCCTCCACTTCCCACCCCACAGCACATCACTGTCATGAGAACCCTGCTACTGGTAGGAGTGTAATGCAGCCTGCCAGTGGTTGCAGCAGGAAAACTGGGCTGAAAACCAGTGAGCTAGATAGACCTTCTGGAACAATCTGGTAGTGGTCACAGGCATCTGTAATTTGTGTTTGTTTTAATTGGAAAGCTGTTAATGTGTTTCATGAAACATTAGTCCTTAGAAATGTTAGTGGAAAGTGTGTGTGGGGGGGGTTAATTTATTTTTTAAATAAGTCATTTTATTGGGGGCTCTTACTTATATTATAACAAACCATACATCTGTTATCTCAAGCGGACATGTACAATTATTGGCATCAACAATTTCTAAACATTATCTTTCTTCTTGAGCCCTTTGATATCAGCTCCTTTTTTTAATCCCTCCCTCCCTGACCCTGCCACCCCCTCAAGCCCTTAATATATTATGTATTGTTATTATTATTTATATATATCTTACACACCCATTCTATTCCTTCACCTCCTACCCTGGTATTCTTCCCGTGGTGGGGGGGCGGGCGGGTTTATTCTGCCATCATTGCTATCCATTCCTCCTTCCCTCCCTTCCTCCCCCATCTTCCCCCATCCTCTGAGAATCATTGCTCCCCTTACTCTTTCTGAGGAGGTTTGTCTTTCTGGATTCTGTATATTGAAAGCTCTTGTCTGTGCCACTGTCTGTACATTGGTCCATCGGGAAATGCGAGATTGGACTAAAATCATAATAGTGGGAGGAGGAAGGATTAAAGAACTAGAGGAGTGTTGTGTATTTCAGCGGTGCTAAAATGGCCCCTGGATGCATTGTCTCCTCCATGCAGCCCCTCTGTGCGGGGATATCTAATTATCCACGTATGGGCTCTGGGTCTCGAGCTTGGTCCCTCTCCATCACCTCCATGAGGTTGTTTATTTTTGGAATTCTGATGTCTGTTCCCAGCGACACCTCATGATCACACATGCTGGTGTGCTTCCCTGCTAGATGGCTGCTTGTTTGGCTTCAAGCTTTTAAGATCACAGGCGCTATATCTTTTAATAGTCGGGCACCATATGCTTTCTTCACCACATTTGTTTATGCTCCCAGTTTGTCTTTAGCGATCCTGTTGGGCGGTAGGCATTGCCCAAGGCCACATTATTATAACAAAGTGTTCTTGTGTTGAGGGGATTCTTAAGTAGAGGCCCAGAGTCCGTCCACTGCCTCAATGTATAGCCATATAAATATGTGTACATAGGCCAATGCCCCTATTGTTACGCATTAATGTATTTACATATGTACACCTCTATGTTTATTCCTCAATAAGTAGTTTTGCTTCCTGGTCCTTTCCTCTATTTCCTTTTATGTTCCTCCTGTCCCACTAGCATGTTCGCCCCTCATTTGACTCTCAGTAATTCCTCTGGCTAGATTACGGCTGCTCTACCACTACCAGGATTTCTACTATTTGGGAGGGGGAGATTCTTAGGCTGATGCCGTTGGGCCTGTTATTCTTTATCTGCCCCCTCTTCGACGCCGTCTGTGACACATTGGCAGGACTCCTTGGGACTCCTCTCTCACGGGGCCTCAGACACAGGGGAAGGAGCTGCCGAGCCCTCAGAATGTATTTAGGGAAAGCTGCTGTGAGGCTTCTTCTGAGAGTGGTATTGGCTGCCACTCTGACAGATTCTTTATCTAGGCCTGGTTAATGGAGAATTGTCTTTAAGGTAAGGTGACCGAACGTCCCGCTTTTGGTGGGACAGTCCTGATTTTAAACAATTTTTCTGGCGTCCCACAGCATTTTAAAAATGTCCTGATTTTTTTGAAAGAATGCACGACAAGCTAGGGTATGCAGTTTTCATCTGCCATATGGCTATTTCGCCAGGATATGAGTTTTATCAATGGTGTCCCGCTTTACCAATGTTAAAATCTGGTCACCTTACTTGAAGGGCTACATGTTGACTCTTAGCAGATACCGTTTCATCTCCCTGAAGGTAATCATTACTTTTATCCCTCACTCTAGTGAGGATGACTCTTCTAGTAATGGCTTTCTTTACACCTAGCCATTCCTTGATGATGGTAATAAACTCTACTTGCTCAGTTTTAGTAATTTAATATTAAGTTGACTTAGTTGTTCCTCTGGCGTGGTATCAGGGGAGGGCATCTTCACGAAATGAGTGGATAATTCTGCCTTCTTTCTGTGCCTGGGTACAACTGGGCATTGTTCGGTCCCTGAAAATTAGCTAACGTAGCGTTGACAAGCTCATAGCCTTTTTGTTTTGTTTTGTTTGGGTTTTTTGTTTGTTTGTTTTTTTTCATTTTTCTCATAGCCTTAAAACATGTCATTCCCTCCATGTTTTTTGTTATTGTCTATGTCATTGGGTTCTCTCTATAGAAGCAGAACCATGTGCATACCGAGAGAGATTTATTTCAAGAGATTGACTCACGTGATTATGGGGGGCTGCCAATTCCAAGATAAATCTGTAAGTCAGGAAGCAGGCTGGAGACTCCTGCAGTTTTGTGTCCTAAGATTCCTAGATGATGGAAGGCGTGCAGAAGTGAGAGAGTAAACGAGCGAGAGTTGTGCTGAAACAGCCATTTGTAGTCAGAAGAAGGTCCACAACCTGAGAAGCCTCCCCCTCCCCCACTTTCAATAAACTGATTGATCGCTTTGCATTGGATTAGATTATGGAGTGTGTTTGGGAACCACACTTAACCTACCCAAGGTTGACACATACAGTTAGCCCATCCCATTCCCTTTGCCATTTTGTACCTTTGTATTTTCACTTTTCTCCCCACCTAACTCCTAAATTTTTCAATTACTAGCCTTGCCAGGTTTCTTTCTTTGTCTTCTTCCCTTGCTATTAAAAGGGACCCATCTATGACACTGTATCCGGTTGTTTAAAAGTTGCTCTGGTCAACAAAGCCCACATGGAAGAAGCACACCAGCCTGTGTGATCACGAGGTGTCAAAGGGATCAGGTATCAGGCATCAAAAAACAAAAAAATCATATCGTTGTGTGCTCACCTTCCCAATACGATCACTAAAGACAAGTGGGTACATAAGCAAATATGGTGAAGAAAGCTGATGGTGCCCGGCTATCAAAAGATATAGCATCTGGGGTCTTAAAGGCTTGAAGATAAATAAGTGGCCATCTAGCTCAGAAGCAACAAAGCCCACATGGTAGAAGCACACCAGCCTGTGTGAACAGGAGGTGTCAAAGGGTTCAGGCATCAAAGAACAAAAATCCATATCATTGTGAATGAGGGGGAGTACAGAGTGGGGACCCAAAGTCCATCTGTAGGCAACTGGACATCCCCTTACATAAGGGTGCCAGGGAGGAGATGAGCCAGTCAGGGTGCAGTGTAGAAACGATGAAACATACAACTTTCCTCTAGTTCTTAAATGCTTCCTCCACCCCACTATCATAATCACAATTCTACCTTACAAATCTACGTAGACCAGAGGATGTACTGTACACTGGTAAAGATAGGAACTGGAAGTACAGGGAATCCAGGACAGATGATCCCTTCAGGACCAGTGCTGAGAGTGGTGATACCAGGAGGGTGGAGGGAAGGTGGAGTAGAAAGGGAGAACCGATTACAAGGATCTACATATAACCTCCTTCCTGGGGGATGGACAACAGAAAAGTGGGTGAAGGAAGATGTCGGACAGTGTAAGATATGACAAAATAATAATTTATAAATTATCAAGGGTTCGTGAGGGAGGAGGGAAAATGAGGAGCTGATACCAAGTGCTCAAGTAGAAAGCAAATGTTTGAGAATGATGAGGGCAACAAATGTACAAATATGCTTGACATAATGGATGGATGTATGGATTGTGATAAGAGTTGTACGAGCCCCTAATAAAATGATTTTTTTTTAAGTCACTCTGGAGCCAGATTCTTGGCTTCCTGCAGAGATGTGGGACCTTGAGAGAGTTCTGTAATATTTTAAGTTATGGGGTCCTCATAGGTAAAGTAGGACAACAGTTGGACGTGCTGTGTAGAATTGAGCTAAGACTTCACTGAGTCCATGGCGTGAACATGCTCAGAAAGAGTAGGGCCTGGCACCACATCCAGAAAGCATCATTGGTGTTATGGTGGTTATGAGACTAATTGTTGATTGAGTCTATTGCCCTCCTGTTGCCAGATTCATTACATTAACTAGCTACATGTTTCTCAGTAGACAAGTTATATGTTCTATAAAGAATTTTTTTAAAAATAGAGAAAGGTATAGAAAGGATTTAAAAATCACTTTGGATGTCTCTAACTCACAAGTACTAATATCTTCTTATGAATATCACTTTAGATATGTGATTGCAAACACATTTTGGTTCCCCTCATGTATTGTGTTAGAGGAAAATATTTTCTTTCCATTTGAGTAAAAAGCAAGTGAGTAGCAGGTTCTAGCAGCAAAACTTATTAAAAAGTCTTTGTATGTGCATGTGTCCACAGGCTCACGTGCAGATGCATATATATAGTAGAATTCTTATCTCCATTGGGCTAATCAGAGACCCTTTGCTTTTCCTTTTCACACAAGAAACCTAGAAATTGTTGGTCTTAATTGCTTACACTGTGGGAAAACGGCCATTATAAGTTCGTTTCTACTTATTTTCTACAGTTGCACCGTTGGGGATCTTCAGGCCAAAATAGATAGCTTGGAAAAGACAAATTCAAAGCTTCAAGAAGAGGTTAGTACTAACGTCTAGAAATTCTTCAACCAAATAGCATTTTCCCAACTTGGCACATCTGAATACAGCTTATTGCTGGTTGGAATCGGGTTGAGCTGCACAGCGTGATCATGCTCAACACTTTGCATCCTCAGAATGTCCCTCTTCCGTCCTGCCCTGCCCTGCCCTGCTCGGGGGCCCTAGTCAGACACTACAGCTGACCCTGAGCCAATGCTGTGTGACTTTGGTTTTGCCACTTCAAAGTAGTCCAGTAGAGGAAAACTCCTTGGAAAAGCCCTGTCACTGTTGTAAAACTGCTGCTTTCTTCCTCTTTTCCACATTCCCTATGAGGTAGGTGTCTCCCCACTGCCCCAGAAGACACTGACCTAGCCCTCCCCTGTCTGTGTCTCTGCTTCTCCGAAGAGGAAGCAGACCTGCTCTTTCCGCAGCATGGTCTTTCTCTTCTTTCCCAGTAGGAAGAGAGAATGACAGGGCAGAAAGGAGGAGGGCTGAGGCCGAGGAAGAAAGCTTGCTGCCCGCTGCCCGGCAGCCGCCTCTGAACACATCATGTCTCCTGTTAGCAGAAGGGGCCTTGCCCAGCCTTTCTGAGCCTTTCCACAGGTAGTGGTCCCTGTCTGCTCAGTACTCCCCCACCCAAGATTCACTAGGAAGTAAGTAAGGCTCTCAGAGGGTCTTAAGCATGAACACCCTACTGTTGTGGGGTCAGATTGCAGACACACCTTTATAAAGAAGGGCTCCTGTGGAAGGCCGGCCGCTCTTTTCTAAGGCTGCTATCCAGCCTGAGAGGCCTGAACTGTAAGCCTTTCCAGAAAGGCGCTCAGATGTGTGTGACTAGTAGGAAATGCAAAGCAGGTGTTCATAGATAAGGTATCATGGGAGGAACTTCAGTGACCTTCGTTCAGAGGACTCGTGCTCACCTTCGCTTGGTAGACCTTTGAGCTTCGTTGTAGGTAAGCACTTCATAACAATCATGTGATGGAGATGAACGGAGTTAAGAGCATATCAACGGGTCTAACGAACCATGCGGTCTGTTGAGACCCTCAGGATATGTTGGTGAATTTAAGAACAAGCAGAATCTCCTCTTTGTTCTCCCAAATGAGGTGGCATGTTTTGAATGAAGGCCTCATGTTAGCCTTTTTTTTTCATAGTAGTGAAAATACACACAGCCCAACATAGAGTAATTCAACATAATTTCGCTTTTGAACTAAAGTAGGCTGTGTTATCTTTAGAAGCCACTGATTGCATTGGAACTGCTTAAGAGAAAACCTCTTCAGGGGGTGTTCTGTGTCTGCAAAGTGCGGGTTTAGAATGGACTCCCTGTTTTGTGTGCTCCTTCCCTTTTAAAAGCAACCCATGCTTCCTTTAAAGCCTTGACATCGCGTATTGGAGCCACCGTAGTTATGTTTAGAAGACAGTCCAGTCCTGGGGTCTGAGTCTGAGTGGGAAGTAATTGAGGGGGTTTAGATACTGTTGACAAAGAGGGATTGAGAAAACCCATGTTTCCAGGTTCCTTCCAGTGACTGACGTCGTGAGTCAGTATCTTTGGCCTTGCTCTTCTCTCTCTGCTGGGTTCTGAGGCTACGTTCAGCAAGGGCGGGGGGTGGCATATTGGCTCACCTCCCTGGCCTCTCGGGATGTCCCCTCCTCAAACAGATCCTGAAGTCATCCTGCTTCTGTATCGCCCCTAAACTTCAGGACTCACCTGAGAGAGAACAAGAGGGCCTCTAGGGCATGGCTTCACTGGTTGGTTGTTCATTCCTCCTCAGAGTTTCTCTAACTCTCCCTGTGAATGTCGGTGGAGAGAAATGTCACAGAGAAGAATGAAGACTCAGAAAACAATGTCACAATCCCTCTTAGCATGTAGTCTACATTGTCCCCAACGTTTTGTAAGCATTTTCAACACAGCCGATTTTCCATAATGGGAATTGAGAGCAAACAGCACAAGCTGTTTTCTTGTCAGTATTTTAATAAGTACTTGTTCAAGGTATTAAAAAGTTTTGTAAACATTTTGATTACTAAATGTTCTACTTTATGCCTCCACTGGAATTTATATCAAATGTGTAAGCGTACATTAAAAGTTGTGAAGATGCCGAATAAATGTGGGTTCTTATTGGAGCAGAAAGATCAATTTTGATGTTAATCATGGAATTGTTTCTGGATCAGCTTTCAGCTGCAGAAGGCCGGATTTGTTCACTTCAAGAAGAACAGCACCAATTGAGAGAACAAAATGAACTGATTCGTGAAAGAAGTGAAAAGAGTGTGGAGGTGAGAAATTGACCTGAGAGTCAGGCAGCATCCATGTCCTCACTCAGACTTAGCCATTCAGTCTCCGAGTTCAAAGCCTCCTGACGGCCGGGCCCTGATGTGCTCCTTTGACGCCATCAAGTGCTGCTGGGGTCAGCAGTCCCTTCTCTCCCATACCTTCTCAGTCTCCACTCACGGTCTTCTCTGACACCCTTTCTGGGTGGAGCCCCCCTCCATTTTACCATTGCTTTTGTTTATTGTTGTGTGTAATTACCTAATGAAGATAGAGGCCATGCCTGGTTCATCTCTCAATCCACCCAGTGCTGCAAGCATACTCACTCCCGAATGATTCATTACTAAGAAGTACGTTTGTCCTGTTGGAAAGAAAATTACATGTGAGTTGTCTTTGAATGAATAGGTCGGACAGGGCAAGATATG